GTATATAAAAAACATTTTGTGGGTGGATGCTGCGATTTTTTGCTAATATGCGTGGACATCTTCATGGAATACCTTTTTCCGGTTTAGTATACCTATATTTATTACTTTTATACCCTTGTTCTTTGATATTGTTTATTGTATTCGTTTGAAAATACCATCATTTTGTTGGTATATACAATAACTATTCATCCATGGACCTTAGTATTTATTTTATGTGCTTGTATATTGGATATTTAAAAAGTTTCAGCATGTAACATCCGCTCTATATGCACGAGCGCTAACAACCCCATAATACTTCACCATCCTCGGACCATGGATTCCCTTCCAAATGGCAAAATGGGTCTGAAAATACTAAGCTATCCATCCAATCAAAAAATGAAAAAGAAGTGTTGTCTGAACTTTCTCAGGGTAGGACAAATCTGCAATCATGTTCAACCCTCTATAAATAATTGTCAAGACTAGGATGTTTAATATTACCGAAAATTCTAACGCTAGGATACTCTCCATCTTGAAAGTTGAAGGGCGTATTGAACTAGCATCGTCAAGCAGAAGCACGAAGATGCAAAGCCAACAAGCAAGGAACGCTCCGAAAAAAGTCTCCTTGAGGTGTTCCCGTCCAAGTTTGAGTTTGGTGAAAGATGACTCTTGTGCCTTCGACCATGGCTCGTGGATGCCAATCTCTCTGGAAGGGTTGTAAGTCATCAAGCTGAGAGGAACGAGTAGACTCTTTGTCGTGAAGGATTTGAGGATACTCTTATTTTGACGGTCTTCTTACACTAAAAGAAATCCAGTCGGTTGCGATGACATCTCGCCTACCTTTGTCATGGCTGCGGATGGGGTAGTAGGCTTGCAATAGGTATCTGCACGGGGTATAAGCTTCCTATCTTCTTTACTTCTGTATAGCTCCATTGTGCTTGGAACAATCTTATCTAAAAAGAACCAAGTATGGGGAGATCCGCCAAATACGCCAAGTCGTGGAGAGATTGACACTTTACTGACGGCAGTCAAATTAGTGTTGGTACTGGGATATAACGTCTTGCAAACGACTTTGATGATCTCTGGAGAATAGTCATACAAAAACAAGGAAACATAAAAAGCATTATAAATGTATTATCTCTTTAACAGACGCTCGCATCGATCCAGCACATCCTCCACCCATTCTTAATAGCAGACCACATAAAAGAAATCTCCATCGAAAGAAGAAAAATCATCCCAAGTTCACACCCCCTTTATGATTCGGCGCCCCAAGGTTAGAAGGATGAGAGTATCATTCGGCATGTGTTGCTGGGGTGAGGATTTTAAAGTATGCTTTCCTTCAGCGACATCCTGAGACCACGCCTTTGGAAAATTCAGAACCTCGCGAGTGGCTGCACATCCTACAAGTGGAAGGTGGACCATAAATGGGTTGTCTTGTCTAGCGGTTGGCCCTCATACTCAAGAATCGCCAACTCGGCATTACCAGAGGGAGATGAGCATCCTTGAAATAAGTTATGTTACCTACAAATAAATAAATAAATAAATAAAAACAAGGTCCAAAGAGGGAAGAAGAATAAGAAAAAAAGATAGAGAAGAAACCTACACAATAAATATGAGAAATTAAGTTATAAAATTTTGAGAATTACAAGAAAATTTATTCTCATAGTAAAGGGGTTTATATAGTGTCCAAAATTTAAGTTATATGAAAAAATATATGCGTAAGGAAAGAAAAAAAAAATAAAAGATCAAAGAAAATAAAAGAAAAAAGGAAATAAAAACCTTAGAGGAAAAAAAATTAAGAAAATAAAAGGAAGAAAAAATAAAGAAAAAAAATTAAACATGATATATATATATGTATGAGAGGAAAAAAAAAAAGAAAGAAGATATTGCAAAAAGTAAAATAATATAAAGATCTTAATGAGAAAAAAAGACATACAATCAAATTCTTAATAAATGAAAAACGACATCCGTTGAGAAAGAAAGAATTACGAAATCTTTTCATTGGCCAATCGAAACGTGCCAAATGGCATTGTCCAAAAAGGGAAGCCACGGCTGCCCCTTCCCTATAAATAGAGGTCTTGACCAATTTATTAAGACACCATAGTTCATTTGAAGACTTGAGTAAGAGTTATTTGTATCTTTCGAAGCGTTCTTCGTAAAAAAGTCACTAATTTGGACAAATAATCCAATATTGGTTGACAAATCAATGAAGTTGACGTTCTTCGTCGTATGTCCAAGTCAAACGAAATATCAAAGCTTCAAAAGCCGTTGAAGAATCCGTCAAAGCCAATGACAATCTACCAAGTTCATCCTAAAACTTTAAGACGTTCATCGCGTTCTTCACCAAATCATCAAATGTGGCCATCTTCGATCAAAAAGTTAAAAAAACACGCCACCAAAAAGTATTATGAAGCATCAAATCTACCTCCTCAAATATCAAAGACCCAAATCCATAAGAAAAGAGGCCAAAGTTGATGATCGAATTCATAACAAATCGTGACATAAAAGACATAACAAATCCATTATATATATAATAGTACTATTTTTTTATCATTTTCTTTTACAAAGATCTAAAATTAATTTGTTTAAAAAAATAAAATATTTGTACGATTTTCAATAAAAATATATTATTTTCTCTTGAATTGGAAAAAATAAGCACGGTCGAAAATTCGATCTAAATTCAGCATGAAAAAACTTTATTAAGACCTAAGAAAGTAGACACGAAATATTTCGGGCAGTGTTTGACCATACACGCCAATGAACTTGTCCGTGTTTGGGCCCATTGAGACCGGGTTGTGTCTAGCCCAACTTGATTTAATAAATTAAATATATTTAAAATAAAAGTAAAATAGCATAAAATTCTCACGTGATTTTCTCAATTTGCTGAAAACTCTCCATCATCCTAAAATTCTATACCTATTCGTGGTTCAAAGAATGTTGCACACTTGTCCTTCTTCCAAATTTCACTAATGGCTTTAATTTTTAGTTAGAATGGACCATTATGCCCCTAATGAGCTTTTTACTTGGATAATATTTGAGAACAATAAAAATTAATTACACCCTCAATTTGTATATTTCTTATATCAAACCTTAAACTCAGATCTAATGACACATTTATTTGCAATATCTTTAACTATCATCTTCCCCACCACTGCTGCCGCCAACCGGAGGCTCTTTCATCAACCCCTCTTTTCGATAGAGCGGCCCCTCCCCAGCTGCCACCATCTCCGACTCACTCTTAATCTAGGAGTGGAAAGGGGTTGGAGTGCGAGAGGAACAACCGGTGGTGACGCCGTTCATTTCGCCGTTGAGTACACTCAAGAAACAATTACTGATAATCACACCAACAAGTACTCCACAAGAAACAATCACACCATACAAGATTCACGATTAAAATAGCTTCAATTCAAATGTTACAACCCCACCCAACCTATCCTCAACCAAATATATCTTAAATACCCCTAACAATTACCCTCAAATTAAACTCACGTAGCTTAAAAGCTACAATTTTCCCTAATATCTTAACCCACTGCAACAAAACAGTTCCCAAAAAATCAAAATCTCCGTCAATGTTTGAACTTCGAACAAATCTCTAGTCCAACTTCAGAAAAGAAAACTAAAAATTATATATAAATCAACAGAAATATAGAAGTCTTTGCTCTTGTCACAGGAAGTTACGATTCTAACTCCCCACCCAAATCAAAAGAAAAATCCATAACCTAATTTTTAAAATCAAATACCTATCCTAAATTTCAAAAATCCCATTGGCCGACGGAGGTTTTTTGAGTTTTTTTTTGTAGAATTGAAGGCCGTCGGAAGTTTTTCGACAAGTATAAAGGTTGTGGACGTGGGTTTGCTGTCGTTTTTTTTAAGTTCTGATGAGATTTAAGGATAAGATATTATTAGGTAAGATAAAGACCTTTTTGTTTGAGGGGTTTTTAAGGATACGAAGGAATTTGCCGTCAAAGAAGAAATTTGATGGAATTCTCTCCATAAACTAGAGCGAGGAGACCCAAGATCATAAAAAGAGGCCGAAGAAGAGGGAAACAATTCTATTGATTGATAGCAAAAAGGTTCGTTTGCAATATTCTTTGAACCACGAATAATTAATATGAAATTTTAGGATCAATGAAGAATGTTCAGCAAGTTACAAAAATTACATAGGAATTTTATGCTACTTTTCTTAAAATAAATAATTTTATAATATATTAAAAAATAAATAAATCTTAAAAATAAAAACATAATATAATAATTTAAATATTGTTTTTTTGACTGTGCCCAAGTTTGGGCTCCAAGGCCTAATATAAAATCGGGACGGACTTGCCAGACACTAAGTAAAAATGAATCGGACTAACCTGACACGAAACAATTGACTAACCTCAAATTACCATCCTTAATTTCCTCTAATAGAACTTCGGATAAAAAATATTATTAAAAAATTGAAAGGCAAAATTGCATAAGATCCGCCCGTGATTTCATAAAATTGCGCTAAATCTCTTATAATTCTAAAATTGCGTCAGACGCATTTATGATTTCAATGATGCATTTACTCCCTCAACCATCTTTATTTGGTGTTTGAACTGATGCGTTCAATCTGCAAATAAATTTTAAAAATTTATTTAAATTCATTATTTTTAAATTTAACCTCAAACAAACAATAAATATAAAGATATTTTTTTATTTTAATTTTTTTATTGTTTATTGTGATTAAATACATAGGAATAAGTATATATAATTTTAGGAGTTTAAAAAAGAAAGATTCAGTTTATTTGCAATTAGCATATAGGTCAAATATCATCATTAGATAAAGACACTGAAAAATATTAACTTAGACATAAAAGTATATGCAACTATTAGATAGTTTAAGGCAATTTTGTTAGTATTAAAATTTAATTTAATTGTGCAATTTAGCCAAACTTAAATAACAATCTCAATTTTCAAATCAAATCAAAATGAAACCCTTTATTTAATTCAAAACTTTATTATTGAAAATTTGAAACCAAAAACCAATCACCAAACCACCCTACTATCCAAACCCGTAATTCTCAGGATTCAGATGCAATTCTGTGGATGTATATAAAATTTCCATTGCCTGGCGGCATATTCATTTCTCTGTCGTTTTTCGGTTACGGAAATGGCTTCCATCACTCGGTTTCATCCTCTCCACCCAGCTGCTCTGCTCAATCCCTCTGCAACTTCATTCAAGTTTCATCGCTCCTTCCCTTTCTTCTCTATCCACACCCGTAGAAACAGCTATCTTCGCCGCAGTTGCGATGGGGAGGTTAATACTCGCAAACTTCACGCAACACCACAAGTCCGGTGTAATTCAAAGGTATTGATTTGCATTTGTGTTTTGGATAGGTTTTCAATGTATTCATTATTGGATTGACTTATGCTTGGGTGTTTTATTTAGAACGGTGGTTCGAGCACTGAATCGAGTCAGTCTGTAGTTGGCGATCTGCTGGACTTTCTCAACGAGTCCTGGACTCAGTTTCATGCTACCGGTATTGCATTTCTGTCTCTCGCGATAATATTATGTTTTGGCTCTGGACTACGTTTCGACGAGCTTTTAGCGAGTTACAGTGAAACATAAGTCAATATTTAATTAATACATGATGTTGTGTGAGAGGCTCAATATCCTTGTAATAGTTCGTAGTCAGTTTTCTTTTGTCAGAATCAATAGGTTGAAAAGATAATTACTAGGGTTCATGTTTCGTTGTATGTTGTTGTATAGAATGCCGAGGAACTAAAATATGTGAAAGGAGGGATCGAGGTTTAAGGTGCCGAGGTACTAAAATATTGTTTGTGCCTTTGTGTAGTGGTTTGGAACTGTTATTTAGAATAATCTTGAACAGGTGGTCCTGAAAACTGATGCCTGACAGAAGCCAAATCCCATTTGTAGATTTAGCACGCATACTGAAAGCACATAAGTTATTCAATAGTGGTGCCCAAAAATGAATTAATCAAATACCTATTGGATGCTACATACATTTCTGAAGAATAGTCTGGAAAGTATAATGGTAGGGTTATATCTTATTATCATGAAATTGAGTTGAATCATTGGTGTATTTATTCGATGGGCCTTTTATGATGAAAGATAGAATGATCATTGTAAGAACAAATTACAATTTTATATAGGTGTTACATTTGCTAACACACTTTAGCCAACTAAAGTTGAACAAGATAATAATGCCGTCAAAACTTTTATCCGTAGTAATAGAAGAAACTCATAAAGTTGAAATAATTAGTTCCTGCTTATACGGAATGGGAGACATATTTGCTGATGAACTCTTAAGATGAGCTTGTTTGCTTCCACTTTGCATATATGGGCACTAACAGTGAATAATCTACTTTTTCATTCCATTTGGAATTGGTTAGTATCAGAATCTGATCCAAGAAAGAAAATTCTGTTCCGCATCATCATAAACAATGAATAAAACCCCAATGATTATGTTATAATAGCAGATATGAATCTTCTTATTCTTGAAAGTTCAACCAAAATGGATTCTCTTGCAACCAGCAAATTAATGGAGTATGCTTCATGTTTCAAGTTGTTTGTATGCTGAATGCTATTTGTTTTTTTTTTTTTTTTTTTTTTTTTTTTTTTTTTTTTTATTGGTGCCGAGCTAATGAAATCTAGCCTGTCCTGGTGAAAAGAACAAATTAATAGAGTGCTGTGCTCTTTCTGTTGTTAATTTGTTCGTTTCCCTCTATACTATCAATCAATTTACAGTTTTCTTCATTTTCTGTTAGCTGAAGCAAAGCGCCAACTTCTTGCTGCTGGATTTCATTTGTTGAATGAGAATGAAGAGTGGAAATTGAAGCCTGGTGGTCGCTATTTTTTCACACGTAACATGTCCTCATTAGTTGCCTTTGCGATTGGGGAAAAGTGAGTAAATTGCATCTTATACATTACTAAATATGCATTATCATTGGCATAACTTAGGGTGTAGATTTCATTATGCTTGAGGTACAGGATTGTAATGGATCATGTTTTCTTTCAAGATATACCTTACAAAAATGTGTAAACTCTCTTTTTTGCTTTTTGGCTGTTTCTCTTTTCATTGCTCTTCTTCTCTCATTTTTATTTTTATTTTTATTATTACTCTTTCCCCTAGTTTTTTTTTTTTTTTTTTGCTTCTGCTTATGGGTTACATGCACAACATGAAAGCTCTATGATATTGGTTAATACAATCCTATTTTAGTGTTGCAGGTATTTGGTTGGGAATGGCTTTCATGTGATTGCTGCACATACAGACAGCCCATGTCTTAAATTGAAGCCGAATTCTGCATCATCCAAATCTGGTTATCTTATGGTCAATGTACAAACTTACGGTGGTGGTTTATGGCACACTTGGTTTGATAGAGACCTAAGTCTTGCTGGAAGGGTTATTCTTAGAAATGATGATGGTTCGTTTTCACATGAGCTGGTCAAGATAAATAGACCTATATTGCGGGTGCCGACTCTTGCTATTCATCTTAACAGGTTGTTGATTTTATCCATTTCTATTTTCGCCTGTTTCATACTAAACTTCATACCTATTTCTGTTTTGAGTTCAGTTATTGTTGCTAGTTATCACTACATATTTTATAGCATATAATATTTACTATCTGCAGCCTCGTGTAGATCTACACAGAAAATCTTTAGTCAATAGATTTTTTAGCTTATATTTAGTTGTGATTATGTTATATTTCCTATTGGACATGCCGTCTAGTGGATTTGAGGGTACATGTTGGCATTCAATTTTTCTTAAAGTATGACAAGCCTATTGACAAAAGAAGCAAAATTTTGAAATTTGATTTTTTTTAATCAATGCCTTGGTGGGAGTGAACCCTAAACATTTCAATGCAATAATTATGATGAAGAGATTCTATCAAATCATGGTATCACTTACAAACAGATTTTTGACAAAAATGACATAATTTAAAGAGGACATCCTATATTTTGGGAAGAACCTGTTTCAAATAGCTAATAAAGCTTAGCTTCAATGGTGTAAAACTCTTGATAATACAATAATTAGGGAAATAAAGATTGTAGTTTAAAATACCAGTTCGTTTACCAAGGAGTATTTGGTTGTAAGAAAATCTTTGGGTGTGTTCTTTTAATGTTTGGGCTTAGGGTTTTGATTTGGGTTTGGGACTTTGGGTTTGGGTTGAATTTGAATTAAGGTGGGGTTTTGTGAATTATTATTATTATTATTTATTTATGTATTTTATTTTAGGTTTTCAGGTTTGGGAAAAGTAGGATAATAATTAGGGATATTAATATGATATAAAGGAAATATGTTGATGTGATGTGTTTGGTATTAAGAGTAATAATTGGAGAAAATTAAAACCAAGAAATGGAAAATAATGGATGTATAGTCAAATAGGATGTGAAAAGTAATGGAACTATAATGGGCGTAAAGACATTGAGCGTAATTTGCACGCGATGGGCTACACCTTTCCGTGATTGCTTTGGCAGCGTAACAAGTTCTGCATGGTCATGCCAAACTTGTATTTTTCTCTTTGGTCAAATAGCTTTTGTAGGTCTAGACTAGAAAGAGAGGAGCAAGGTAGGTTTGTTGTGTTGTAAAGGCAATGGGTAGCGGGTTCCTGCCTTGTGTGTTAGCTATAGTAGTCCCACACAGTACGGGACGCTTCCGAGACCGTAAAGAAACACACCCTTTGAAGGTATTATATTGATTCAAGGTAATTGAAGAGGTGGAGTAACGCTAGTGTCTTAAGTTAAAGTAACAACAAAATGGGATTTATGGGTATGAAGAGACGAGGATTACTTGTCATAGTATGCTGCTTAAGAGGAGGAAACAAGACAAATTTTTTTGGTTACCTGGCTTAGCAACTTTGGTGACTTAACTTCTTGCTATCTCAGCACCCCTACACTTTGATATCATTTAGGCTTTAGCTGGTGACTGGGCTGTTTTTGTTTTGAGATGAATCCTGTACTACTATTTGATATTAGAGAAATCCAGTATATTTTGGTTTGTTGATATTGTATGTTTGGTAGAGGTGTTGGAGAAAGTGAACTACCTTTTACTGTATCATTGATTGCCAATGTCTTTGATTTTGCTTATAATCATTTTCAAGTTCCCTTGATATACCTTGAGAATGGAGACCTTTAGGGAACTCACCGTTCTCATTTGTTCTTGCTGAGCTTGTTGAACTTTAATATCGATGCTAAAAGTGACCAAGCAGTTAGATCCCCATAAACCTTTTTTAATAAAATAATCATGAAAAAACTTTAACTTTGGTAAAACAGAGGTTTTGTTTTCCTGAAAGAAAAAAGACATTTTTCTTGTTGTGCAGTATGAAACTTGCATTGGCTGAGGTCTGATGTCGTTGCCATTTTCTAGAATGGTCTTTCAGTTGAAGGTGTGGCCTTTCTCTAAGGAAAGTGGTGACTATAACAGGCTACACCTACTGTCACTTGACTCACTTTATACTGAATTCTTGTATTAATCAAATTTTTGCCAAAGAAAAATATGGTCTGATTGTGCTCATCTAGATACTTTTGTACCATATAATATTTTCCATTATATCCCAAGAAGTAGTGATAATTTGTGTTGATTTTCTTGCATAATGGGGCTGCAAAGTGGAGAATTTTATCAGTTGGCTCAAAAAGTTTTTCGTTTCTGGAGTTTCTCACAAAAGTGGTTACGAGTCTTAAGACATGGAAATGTAGAGCCTCAAAGGCGAGATAGTTTTTGTAGTCAGTTTTGTATCCTATGGAATGCCAAAACAGAATTTCTATACTATAATTTCTCTAATTCATCCCACCCCCCAAAAGAAAAAAAGAAAAAAAAAAAAAGAAAAAATCATTTTACATAAATCATAATTTGCCATATCTACACGTTTTCTTATGGACTGTTCCTGTCAATCAATGACTGTGTTTGAATTGTTTGTTAAACTAGACTATTGCATCATCAAAATTTGTGACTTTTACATTTGATCATAATTGTTAGGACAGTAAATACTGATGGTTTTAAGCCAAACCTTGAGACACAACTCATCCCTCTGTTGGCAACAGAAGCTGACAAAGAATATTCTAAGCCTGATGAAAAAACTAGTTCGTCATCTTCAAAAGATACCAGCCATCATCCACTGCTAATGCAGGTATCTATCTCATTCCAATCTTTTGCAGCATTATATCTGGAAGATTTGAGATTTCAATGTAGCTGTTTGTGAATCAGAAAGCATTGCAGGAAGCTCCCGTATTTTGAAAAATAATGCAAGAATTTTGTTAACTTAAAAATATTAACAAATAAATATTAAAATTCAAATTAATATTTGAATTTGATTTTTTAATCCGAAGAAAGAGATTCTTCTAGATTTGAACAATGAAAATGCAAAATTAGATTGTTGAAAATAAAAGTGGTGATCCCCGATACAAATTCTCCTAAATTTTGATATAGTTGATTAAAGATGCCTCAATTGTAAGATAAGCGATTTTTAATAGGAGAAACATCATCGGACAGTTACAACTCCTTCACCACCTTCTCTTAACTGCCATTGGAATGTCTCTGTAAGTATCGGGGTGGTCGGGCCTTCCGGTAGCAGATGAGGCTTGCGTGATCATCGGGTCCCTTCTCGTATCCAAGTCCAATTTAAGTAGGGTAGGGTCACCATCGGGTTTGATTTTTTAAATGTTCACAAATCACAACATTCATTTGCGCCACACCCCACATCATGTTCTCGAGTGCCTTGTACTCTTACATATTCTCGAATTCATGGAAGTCTATACACACAAATGACTTACTTGAGGAAGATATATTGTTTATGTAGAAAGTCTTTGATGGCACGGATAATCATCTGCATTGTATAGGGCAATCTAGGATGCTTCAAGTAATGTAATTATCGCCTTTTTATATTTGGATTGACCTCTCAAAGTGCCAATATTCGTTTTGGTTTGCAATTTTTGCTTTTCTCATTCAAGATACATATTATCATTCAGAAGTAAATCATGCTGAATCAGTTGGTTAATTATGAATTTATCAAATATCATTGAGATGCATATAGTCTATGTACAAGGATGAGAGTAAAAGATGTTTACTCACATCATGCTATGGAACTGTTTCTTTCTGCAAATGCTGGCCTTCTTTTACGTACTTGCCCACCTTCAAACAATTGTAACATTGAGGTTGTTTTTCACATTCAATTCGCATGCCCTATATTATATTTACCATACAAAACTTTATTGCTGGTTTCCAATGACATGGATGGAATGCTGATATTCCAAATAATTCCAGATTTACACATTGTCCCCTTTAATTTCTTTCTTCAGATTTTGGCAGATGAACTGGGTTGTAAGGTTCAAGATATTGCAAGCATTGAGTTAAACGTGTGCGACACTCAACCCAGCTGCCTTGGTGGTGCCAATGATGAATTCATATTTTCTGGAAGATTGGATAATCTAGCTTCAAGCTTTTGTGCATTGAGAGCTCTCATTGATGCTTGTGCCTCCCCAGAAGATTTAGAAAATGAGCATGCAATTCGAATGGTTGCTTTATTTGACAATGAAGAGGTAATTGCTGTTGAGCTTTAATTTCATTTAGGCCCGATTCAGGCAATTTTATTTTTTTTTATAGGAACCATGACCCAACAGTAGTTGATTCACATCTTACTGTTATGCTAATAGGTGTCAGGATCAATGCAACAGTCAATTTTCTCTTTCTAGCACCATTTTCTGTGATAATTTTGCAGTCTGTTTTCTGATCCTTGGGACTAAGGAAGAACGGCATACTTCTAATCTCTGGGTTTGATTCTTCTTTATTACAGTTGCCCTAAACCCTAAACCCTTTTTGAGTGATAGTTCTTGTTCTCAAGCAAGCAAAGCCTTCAGTGCTTGTTTGCTCCATTTTGTTATGGGGGCTATCAACAACACTTCTATTATTTCCTGCTCTTCTGATTGAACAATTTATTGATAAGAATATATTATTTCATATTAAAAAATGTATATTTAGGATGCAAAGTGTAAATTTATTCCTGATTTGTATTTTAAATGGATTCATGCTACAAAATGGGTTGTTCATGCTTCATGTCCAAATGGAGTCGATTCAGCTGCTAGCATTCTAAAAAATGTGTAGAGATTGTGTATTGTTGAAAATTGTGAACTGAACTGATACTGTTATGTGTTTCATATTCATGTGGATAGATTACACATATATATACAATAGATTAGGAATGTCTAGGGTCTGTATTTAACGTTCTCTACAAGTTTCTATGACCACCTATTTTCTATGACCATAATTATACTGTGCAGTGCATTCCCATAAACCTACTATCATAATTATGCTACACATTCCAATAGTGTAACACTCCCCCTCAAGTTGGTGCATAGATGTTAGTCATGCCCAATTTGCTCCACAAGTGATTAATTTGAGACTAGTGTTGTATCTTTTCTCGCACAAAGTGATTTGTCAGCTTTAATGTGCTTGGTACGCTCATAGAAAACCGGTTTAGAGGTAATGTGCATGGCAACCTGATTATCACAATAGAGCTTAGTGGGAGTTGTAGTCTATTCTGACTTCCTTTAAGAGTTGGATAATCGACAGTATTTCGTATGTACCTTGGACCATAGCTCGATACTCAGATTCTGCGTTGGAATGGGAAACCACGGTTTGCGTTTTGCTTTTCCAGGAAATCAGATTCCCTCCAACAAAGTAACCGTATGTAAACCTTTGATCTTCTTTAGAGCATGCCCAGTGTGAACACTCTATCCTCCTATGTCCATGATTTTGGTACAAGATCCCGTGACCTGGAGCCCCTTTTAGGTAGCATAGAATGTGCTCCATAGCCGCCCAGTGATCGTTAGTAGGAGAGGACATAAACTGACTAACAATACTTATAGGGTATGCAATGTCTGGCCGAATGACTGTAAGATAGTTTAGCTTCCCAACTACCTTCCTGTACCATTTTGAATGGTTTTCCCTCATTTTCCAAGTGAGTGTTTGAAACCATGGGAGTATTGCAGGATTTTGCTCCTAACTTTCCAGTCTTAGCCTGCTGGTCTAATATATATTTTCGTTGAGAGAGATAGATTCCTTTCTTGCTTGTAAGGACTTCCACTCCCAAGAAGTACTTCAACTTTCCGAAATCCTTCATTTGAAACTGACTCTTTGCAATGCCCTTTTAGTGATGCAATACCCATTGTGTTATTTCCAATTATAATTATATCATTTACATATACTACCAAAAGAATAACACGTGAGGTGGACCATTTGTAAAAAATGGAGTGATCTGATTTTCCTTTCACCACTCTATATTGCTCAAGAGCCTGGCTAAATTTGCCAAACCATGCACGAGGCTTATAAAGAGATTTTCGCAAACGACAAACCTGTGACTGCCTATTCTTCCTTTGAGCAACAAATCCTGGAGGTTGCTCTATGTAAACCTCCATGTAAACCTTTTCAGCAAGATCGCCGTGTAAAACAACATCCTTGACATCTAGTTGATGAAGCGGCCAACCATGTGTAGTAGCCAAAGATAAAAAAAGGCGAACTGAAGTGAGTTTGGCCATCGGCGAAAATGTGTCTGAGTAGTCAATGCCATATACCTGTGCATATCCCTCAGCAACCGAACGGGCTTTCAATCTTGCAACAGATCCATTCGGATTCATCTTAATGGCAAACACCCACTTACAACTGATCGGCTTCTATAAATCCACCAAATCCCGTGTCTTAGTTAGATCAACGCATTCATCTCGTGTATCATGGCCTGACATGAGTAAGAGCTTCATGAATAGACTTGGGAAGGGAAATAGAGTTACGTGATGTGTGTGACAAAGGAAGAGGACGGAAGAGACAATTGATCATATGAAATAAAATTAGAGATATGGTAGGTGCAAAAGCGAGTACCTTTATGAAGAGCAATCGGGAGGTTATCTAGCGCTATAGGATCTGGTGACGAAGATGATGCTGGTACTAGGGAGGAGTCAAAGTCTGGAGATGAATCTATGCGGAGCTCATGAGGGTGACTTTTGTCGCTTCGAGAGTAACATATTGAATCGGTGGTCGTGTGGCTAGTGGAGGATTGGGTGTGGTTGTCTTGATAGTGTACATAAGAATGTCGGGAGACTCCCCTATTCTCGAAGGTCAGGAGACTGAGTGAAAGGGGAGTCCTTATGGAAGGTGACATCTACAAACACTATATTTTCCAAGGCTTGAACAAAAACACTTGTATCCCTTTTGAACGCAAGAGTAACCATGAAGATATATTTTAATGATTTTGGGTCAAGTTTAGTAACATGTGGACGTGTATCTTGGGCAAAACATGTACAACTAAATATTTTTGGAGGCAATGGATATACAAGTTTTTCAGGAAAGAGAATGTGAGAGGGGGTGACTAACCATTAAAAACATAGGACGACATCTAATTAGTGAGGAAACAAGCTGTGGAGACAACATCGGCCCAGAATGTTTAGGGACACTCATGTGAAATAGAAGAGCTCTGGTTTTTTTCAAGTAGGTGTCTATTTTTTCGTTCGGGAACACGATTTTGGGCTGGAGTGTCAACACATGAAATTTGGTGTATAATACCATTTTGTTTCCTAAAAGATGTCACTCTATAGGATTTTGACTTGGAGATCAAACTTGGTGCGAATCTCAACACAAAAATTTTGAAAATGTAAAACTTCGACCGATGTCGCATGAAGAAAATCTAGGTCATTCGAGAATAATGATCAACAAATGTAACAAAATATTTAAACCTTTGTTTAGAAGACACGGGACATGGACCCCAAACATCCGAATGAACACGGTTGAAAGGAGCCTGGACACGATTAAGCTCCCTAAGACTCAAACTAACATTATTCACAATTGAAAGAAGACAAATTTCTGAAACTAGGATACATTATTTTCATTTTTTGAAGGGTAGGGTGACCTAACCGACAATGAACTTCAAAGGAAGTCCAATACATATGTAGGTGATGGGCTTACGGATTGAGTGTCAGGGTATACAATCTGCTTTCATATTCCTTGCCAATCATCTTCTTCGTCTCCAAATCCTGGAAAACATAATAACCAAGAAAGAATGTCACATTACAGTTTAGGGCATGTGATTTTACTAACATAAATTAAATTAAAGGAAAAGTAGGCAGGTTCAAAATAGTGGATAATGAAATAGTCGGTCCATAGTTCCTTACCCAACAACTTGGGTAGTGGATCCATCTCCGAGGGTAATTGGGGACTGAGAACAATATGATTGATAAGTCCAAAAAAAGGGTAGGATTACCTGTCATATGGTCTGTAGCCTTGAATCAATGACCCAAGAGCTGGAGGATGTGATGAGACATGTACTGGAGTTACCTGGGGTGGCCATAGCCGGGATAGCTGTAGATAAATGCGTTTGGTTCTCTTGAGACATAGATAACTTAGAGTTCTGACCTTATGAAGATGCTACATGGGCGAATTGATCCTTTGGCATAGTAAGCTGCAACTTTCTACAATATTTCTTAACATGCCCGGGCTTTTTGCAATAGTTACATATGATGGCCGAGTTATTCTTATATGTTCCTTGTTGGTTTTCACATTTGGATGACCTGTACTCTTTCTAGCTCACCAAGGCTCCACTGGAGAAGACTAGATAGGGGTCGGTTCGGAGGACTCTAGAGAATATATCTTGTAGAGAAGTTATTTCAGCGCTCCCCAATATTTAAGATTTTATTGGTTTATACTTGCTTCGTAAACCAACCAAGAAATTCATAATGACCATTTGTTCCCATTGCTTTTGTTGTTCTCTAACATTGGCACAAAAAAGTATGAGTTCATTTAGTTTCATATGTCTTTTTGAAGTCCATAAAATAATTCAAAAGATATTTGGCTGCCATTTCAGCTCGATAAAAGGCCTTGCACACATTATATATACGGGTAACATTCCCTTTACCCGAGTATAAGAACTCCAAATATTGAATTAAGTCTTTGACAATATTGTAGTGACTCACCAAACTGTAGGCCTCAACACCAATCGAATTTCTGGTGTGCACGAATAACCTTGCATTATTCCGAAGCCTTGCTCTTCTCTCATTTTCACTGGTTGGTGGTCCTCCTCCAAATAATCATCTTTCTCAATACTTAGCAAATATAATTTCACGGTTTTGCTCTACTCTAGATAATTCGATCCATTAAGTTGGTACTAGATAATTTTAGATGTAACTGAAGCAACTTTAGAGACAAAATGCGTTTGTCCTCACTCATGATCGATTAGTAGCAGAACAATCTCAAATTCCAGCAACAAGATGGAACTCGACAACAACAATCGGAATTGTTGCTAATCTAGAACAGAACTCTAGAACACTACTTTAGAGTGGAATTATTGCAAATCTGAGCAACACGCTAGAACAGAACTGTGGAACGCTGGGCAGATTCCTAAACCCTAAACCCAGCACCAACCGAGCACAACAATCCACACTCCACAGAATTGTCACCTGGGCAGATTCTGCTCCTAGCCGTACCTGCCGGAGCTTCGTTCGCTGCCGCACGCTCCTCGACGCGCCAGCAAATGTGACTCACGTGCTCGCCGGAATCTCTCCAGAATGCCGCCATCGAAGTCGCCTGACACCGCCGGACCCTTACTCGCCGGAGGTGAGATGGAATATGGCCTAAGTGCTTTGCCTAAATTGATTTCTAATTATGCTTATAGCCCTAAGGGCTCTGATACCATGTGAACTGATCTGATGCTGTTCTGTGTTTCATATTCATGCGGACAGATTACACACACACATATATATATATATATATATATATAGTAGATTAGGAATATCTGGGGTCTCTATTTAACACTCTCTACAAGTTTTTATAACCACCGATTTTCTAGGACCATAATTATACTATGCATTCCCATAAATCTACTATCATAACTATGTACACATTTCAATATTATTAACAGAAATAAAAAACATAATACTTTCCTGTTGAAACATGCAAATAGTGCCCTGTAGCTTATTGCAATGATAAAATAAGCAACAAGATAAAATTCTAAATCGACCATCATTATAAAATATTTAGAATTACAGTAAATCTTGTTGAATATTCAATTCTAAAATAACTCTTCAGTGCTTCTCCTGCCTTAAAAAGGGCACGATAGCCAGTATTAAATGATTACTTCACTAAAAAGCTTAACCTTGTAGGGATATACATCATTATATTACATATTATAGTCTTTCAACACACCCCCAGATGCAAGGTAGATTTATGCCACACACGAATCTTGCACATGGACATTTTTTGTACGAAGGAGGGCGCTGAGACTCGAACACAGGATCTCACGCTTTGATACCACGTTAAATGGCCCTCTGACGTAAAGCTTAAGATTGTAGAGATATTCATCATTATATTTAGTTTGTAGTCGCTATTATTACATATTATAGTCTTACAACAGCATGGTGAAAGGACTCTAGACTTCCCATTCTTTGTTCACATTAACAATCATGTGCATGATCTCAAGTTTTCATCAACTAGTGATTACAGGTCCAAATTGCCGAAACAGGCATTTTAAGGCTCAAAATTATCAAGGAGTAATTTATTTCATATTTTACTTTGAGTAAAAATATATTTTATCTATATAAAGCTTGATAGAGAACCTAGCTACAATGAATACATTACCCAATATTTCCTTGGCACCGTGCTTACTGCTCAGCAAAGCAGTTTGCAACTTTATTAGCTCTCTGGGGAATATATTGAATAATGATAAGGGAAACTTATCAATCAAAAGATGAAGCTTGTTAATTTTCGCGTTCAACTTACAAGTGGGCCAAAAAGCCAAGGATGCAATTGAGACAATCCATTGAATTGCTTTCTACCCAATTTTTGGAAAGCCATTAAAAACTGGTTTAAGGGTGAGGGCAATAGCCAAGATTTCTGTCCCATTTATGTCCTTGGTGCCAATATGATTGGAGATGATAAAAAACGAAATTGCCTGTGATGATCTTGAATGAAAATAGAAATTTCAATTTCACAAAATAACATAGTATCAGAAAGGCAGAATTTAAATTCATTCGGGATAAATCCTTGTAACCTCAATTTATTTTGCCTATGTCAAATTTTTACTGGTACTCTTCGCCACCACCACCATGCTTATCTCATCACCTTCCAACAACTACTCCAAACTTTGTTCGGGGCTGGCTTTGTCATCATCCACCGTACCGCCAACCCAACCTCACGTCCAGCACGTTTTGTGCATGTAATCCTGCACTCGAACTCCCTGACTCTGTAAGGGAGGGGGGGTGGTGGATAATTTTGTATATGATAATCTTCTCTTCTGAATCTGACCTGTAAAGGGTCCTATCCCGGAATTTCTGCTAACCAACTTGCTGATATCTTCACCAACTCCCTGTCCAATTTCACAATCTTTTGCTCAAAGTCAAGCTAGTCTCCACAATCCCATCTTAAGTTTAAGGATGGGTGCTACGATGTCTATAATATATATATTTTGGTTTGCATATTTGTATATCTTTTAATTACGTTACTAGCTTTATTTAGGATACTTGTAGTATGCTACTTATTTTTATTTTACTATAAATGTGTATTATTCTTTATGAAGGAAAATGGAGAATATACATTTCACAAAATAACATCTACCAAGAAAGAAATATGGAGATCCAATTCGGGTTAGTGTGCCTTGTACTCCAACCATAAGATAGATTTGGAAAACCTCATTGTTGAAGAAAACACCGGTGTGAAATTCCAAATTTCTCAAAGAATAGCTTTGAGCACTCTTTCTCAAATTCGGGGATTAGTTACAAGAGAAGCAATAGATGATTATTGAGAGACTAGATCAAGGCTCTAGGATATGCCTGACACCAGTTGCAGTAAAAAGATGATTTACAAATTCTTGTCAACGAGGGCTAAAATATTTGGGAGTTGGGACCATGTAGCTTTGGGTGTAGCTAAGACTTCTCTCATTGGGTGGCCATTTCGGAGAATATGTTAACTTGATAGGGGCATTTTGAGACCAAACAACCTGCCAAGGTTAGTAGAAATGTTACGAACTTGAGTCCAACACCCAATCGAAGGATCAATGTGAGAAAATTTCATTAGGATCAGGCTTCCAAATCAGCCGATATAAATCCCGGTGAGAGCTATAGGCTGAAGTAATGATCTCAAGGAAATAGTTCCATACCTCAATCTCCCTAAATCTTTGTACAAAGTTTAATATCCCAAATCTAAACCCTATCAACCAATTTATAAAATTTTCAATAAAACTGTCTTTTAGCAAGTCTCCAGCCAAACATTTTGATAGAAACAAGATGAATAAAATAAGAAAAATCAAACAGTAGCAATTGTTTGCCCAAAGAACAATCAAACGGAACCAACCATTTGACCAAGAGCCTTGAGACTACTTTGTTTCCAAGATCAAGTCTGAAGTTTTAAACCCTAGCTACTTTTGACTAAATACTACTACTGAACCCTAAAATAAGCCAATTCAATTAGCAAGAAACAATCCCAACCCAAAATATAACCAAGAAATAAGAAAAGATAAGTCCATCTATGGAATGACAATGAATTGGTAAAGCAGACTAATGAAAGTTTAAACTTGCGAATAGTAGGCCTAATCCCATCCCCATTGCCAATATGCAAGTAAGGGCTAAGAATTCTCGTCCTCTTTCATCTTAACCTTGCGCACTCCCTGCTCCAACTCTCTATCACATTCTTCAAGGATAACACAAGGGAATAACATTGGTATCTTCCTATGAATGAATCTTACTACCATTTACTATCCCAAAGGTCAAAATTATGTGTGAGATTGGCCTATGACATGCAAATGATGGACCCAGTACTTGAAACGGAGGAAGAGAATCTCTGGAAAGCCTACTGGTATTAAACATTAAAAAGTGCTCAATGGTCTAGATATAGTTTTCGTGAGGGAGAAATAATCCATTGGATAAATATGTATTCGTTATTGATCCTTCGCAAGAGTATAATTATTTTTATGGATTGAATGTCAAGGTGAATTGGTATTCATACTTTGATCTTTGCAAAAATCTTTTCCTTAAAGGGTGCGTTTGGTATAGAGAATCGAATTTTAGAAAAATGATATTAGAGAATAAAATTGTAGAGAAATAGAATTCAACATAGAATTGATAATTGATTTTTCTGCTTGGTAAAATTGAGAATTTGCAATATAATAATGAAATGTCAATGAGGACAAAATGATTGATAACAAAATGGTGAATCGAATAAATAAAATATTTTAACAAATATATGTTGGAATATTTAGTTCGTAAATTTTATTTATTTTATTTAATTGATTTTGATTTTATTTTGTTTCATTTGCATAGTGGTTTAAATACAATAAATACTTTTTATTATAAAAGTTAAATAGTAAAAAAAAACTTTATAAAACAAACAAAATTTATTTTTATAAAAGTTAAATAATAAAAAATAAGAAAGAAAGAAAATTCTAAAATCAACATACTTTCAATTATCAATTCTCAACATTTCTCTGTATATAGAAAACAAATAAAATTAGAGAATAGGAAATGATCTAATTCTTAACTCTCAACCAAACAGAACAAGAGAAATGAAATCAATTTAATTTCTCTATTTTCATTTCTACGTACTAAACACCCCCTAAGTGTAATCAAATAAAGGATCAAGAATCAGGTCAAATAGATTACTTGTTTGAATTCAATACTTTTTGTACTTGAACTCATTTGCATTTCTTGGATAAGTTAAGGGCAGACATAGTTCAATCCAGCTTTAAAATGTGACTGCAGCTAATTGCATCTTCCAAGCGTTTTAAGTCCCTTTGATATCACCCTGTTTGTGCTTATATGGTGGTGTTGGAAAATACCTCAAATGCGACTTTTGACTGTGAATGATATGCAGCCATAATTAATTGTAATTGTGAGAAATTATAGGATAATAAATAAAAAGAGAACTCATCATGCTGAGAATAGGAGACGAGCAAGTTTGAAATCTAGGAATCATCTGAATTATCTTCAACCTTCCACACACTTCCTTTACATTTTATTCTAGCTTGAGTGGAACCTTTTTTTCCATTCATTTTTATTTATTATTTTAATAGCAGGTTCATTTCATTACAGGTTGGTTCAGATTCTTACCAGGGGGCAGGTGCCCCAACTATGTTCGAGGCAATGAGAACGATATGTGCTTCTTTAGGTCAACATTCTGTTACTGAAGGTGGCTTTGCTCGTGCATTTCGCCACTCTTTTCTCGGTACGTTGATTCTTCTACCGCTGGAAAGTGCGGCTCTCTTTCTGAAATCTTAAGTACCATGAGCTTTTCTTTTGTATCTTATCATTGCATTTTTTGTTAATTTACTGCTATGGCATCATTCCGTTACATCCTATATGGATGAGAATAGATGTTTTCATTTATATATATATATATATAATTATATGAATGATAGGTCCATGTATTGTTTGTTGGTTTGCATCTTTCACTTGTGTATATAGACAATAATCTGTTGTAGGATGATGTAATATTTAAGAGAATCATCATTAAACCTGTAGGGTTAAGTATGCATTAATCTGAGTCCATCGAAAGCACAATGATGTCATGATGCAATTATTAGCATTCTTGTGCATATGTGCATGTGCTAGGGAGAAACTATTATTATTTACTTGCTGTATATGGGGAATTATGTGCTTGTTTTCTTGATGGTTTCCATTTCAGTAAAATAGATATCCTTTTTAGTTGGCTAGCCTTCAAAGATGTCTTCCAGCAGAAGAAAGCTTGTTATATTCTTAGTTGTTAGTGTTACTCTTGCATCATAACAGTAGTCAATTGTCTATTTAAAATGTTCATCTTTTCTTTAGATATTGTACTCGTACATGTCTCTTCCAAAAGATATTTGTGCAGGCATGTGAAGCAGGGTCAGCTATCTCATGTAATTATTGCTCTATGATAGAAGCCTTTGTAGTTTGAAATTACATCTTATGATATCTCTGACATTCTAGAATAGTTTTGTGTCCTTTGGGAGTTTGTTTGAGTTTTTTGTTTTGATTTGAATAGTAATTTGGAAGTGATGTTTGTGAGAGAAAATAATATATTTTCACATGAAATTGTGATGTCTGTATAGTAAATAAATTGAAATCTAACTTTAAAATAACACATCCCAAATTTTATGTACTTTAAATAGGGTATCATTAAATTATAAAACACTCGTTTAATAGTTAGATGTTTGATTTAATTTCTATCTCTATTGATAACCTCCTTTACAGAGCTATTTCGTGCAATTCATCGTGAACACTTCTCATTTCTTATGTTATACCTAAATATTATTGCAGTGTCTGCTGACATGGCTCATGGAGTGCACCCAAATTTCATAGATAAACATGAAGAATATCATCGACCAATGTTGCAAAAAGGCCTTGTGATAAAGCATAATGCCAACCAACGTTATGCTACAAGCGGAGTTACATCTTTCCTGTTCAATGAAGTTGCTAGCATTCATAATCTTCCCACTCAGGTTATTAAGCTTTTATGAGCGTGTTTACTTGGTGATTTTTTTGGGTTTTGATTTTGGTTTATGGTTTAAATAGTGGGTTGGATTTGATATTTTATAAGAGAAAATACCTTATTTTACAGGGAATCGTGAGAATTGTATAGTAACGAGACTTAAAAAGAATTAAAGCAAACTGAGCCTTAATGGTGAATAATTAGTTAGAAGGCAACTTAAAATTTATTAAGGGTGTGTTTGTTTGAAGGATTTATACATATTTTCACTATTCATCATTTTTTTTTGCCCCCCAAAATATCAAACCAAACATTTACTTTTCATTTTTTATATTATACTAAAACTTAATTTTAAATTCAAAACAGTACATCATACAACTATTCACATTTTAAACTTTTACTATTCAAATCTCAATGTAAAATCCAAACTCCCAAACAAACACACCCTAAATTTCATTTATGAAGATGACTACACTCCTTCCATTTCACTTTTGTAGCATGCAAGAGTTATTAATCCTTGGTCCCATCATAAAGTTAGCGCCGCTGATAACTTTAAAAGCTTCAAACTCTAATTAATTTCAGAAAAATACAGTTTTTATGCCATTGTAAAAGCTCTCTTAGATAAAGTAAAGTGCTCCATATTCTTCCTATTATTTTTCATATAAAAGGCACCAAGATGCATGATAAAAGTTATGATTCGTTGCCCTGCATAATTGATCAGTTGAAGCTTCTTCATGAATTGCTTAGAAGTTTGATTTCAATCCATAATTATGTATTCTTAATTTGATAATTTTTTTTATGATATTACTATTGTTATTTATACAACACTTTGTGACATTGGTTGTTGTGCCTACCACCTGTAGCTATTTTGATAATATATTATTAAATGACTATATATGATATAAATTATTAGTAAGGATCATTTCAACAAGATAAATTATATGCAAATTGAATTATCTTGTTAAACTCAAATTCATCCATGCAGAATGAGATTAAGCTAGAATATTTTCAGTGATGATATTACGCTTTTAAATGATGATATAAGGTGGACATGATTTGAGTATATAGTAAAGTGCTTTTCAACTTGGTTATAAGGGATTTGAATTAGTTTATTTAGCATATTACTTGGACCATTCATTTCGTAGAGAGTAGACAAATTCCATTATGTATAGGTCAAATCAGGACCATATGTGATAATCTTAGTGAGTTTTGACTCAAAAAGAACTTATCACCTCTCTTAGATAAGAATACCTATTATATATTATGAATTTGTTTATTTAGCATATTACTTGGACATTCATTTCCTGAAGAGTGGATGGATCAAAGGACCTTGTGTGATAATCAGTAGGTTTCTTTATCTATTCCTACTTAATTGTTAGTTCTAGTCGGGCCTAGGCCCCATAGTTTAATCGACCTACTATTTAAAGATTGTTTAGTCATTATTAGGATAATTTTGGATTCAATTTAGTTTCTTGAATTCCTTGGTTATTAATAAAATTTGTTTTTTCTTTCTTTTTTTGTTTTTTTGAATTTCATTTCTTAACATCCTTATGCTATCATTTTGTCTCGACTTTCCGGAGATCAGGGAGAAGGATGATGCCAAAAAAATGCAGTAGATCAAGGCCTTGGAGGCATATATGGAGGAACTTTGAACAGCCGTGGTGGCTTGAAAGGTATTATTGCCGTGCCCGGAGTCGAAAGTGGATTGATAGGTAAATACATTGAAGGAAAAGCTTCTACTGGCCATGCAAACTACAATCCTTGTGTCCCGGATCGGAGCCTTGACTGAGTAACACCGGGGAACGCCCTGTAACGTGCCCTTCGTCTATTGCCTTGGTATAAAAGCCTTGATCCGTCTTCGGCTTCGATTCGTTATGCTCAGAAGCTCCAACAAGCCCTAAAATCTCTCAAGACATTTAGAGAGGCTAGCGGAAATCTCTCAAGACATTTAGAGAGGCTAATGAAAATCTCTCAAGACATTTCGGAATCTCCTGAAATATTCTGGAACACTCCACAAGTACCGAGATCGCCCCTTGACCAAGTCGATGTCTATCCGTTAAATATAGCTTATCCATCTCTTGTATAGTTTATCCTTATCTATATGTTGTATAGATAGTCTATCAAAATATGAATATATTTTGGCTTGTGTTAGGCCTGATCCGCTAGAGTGCCTATATATAGAGGAGTCACAACTCATTTTGTCACACTTTGCTACATAGAGAGCTATACACACTCTATTTTGCTAGGTGTAGTTTTACGGTGTCTTTGTTTTCCAGCGGACATGTGTTCGAGGAGGAACCATTCGACCCATTACATATGGTATTAGATCCGATTTTTGAGAGAATGGCGGCTGAAAAGTCCGATACTGAGTTCGAGGTTGAGAACTAAGTTCTGAGGCGGAACCAAAGGAATACAAAGGACAAGTCTATTGTTGCCGTGGGAGCTTTCGACAATAGGTTGGCCAAGGTGGAGCTGACTGTCGGGGATCATCACAACAAGGTTGACTAGGTAGAATAACGGATCTGCGAACTCGAAGGTAGCGAGCTTTGCGAATGGGTACTGGCCTTGGTTGATAATGTGGGGGATGACTTGGAAGCGGGAACTGAAAGTACAAGAGCTCGCCAAGGGGATGATGGCCGAGGTGATCACTCTCAAGGAGAGCTATGCAACAAGCAATCTTGAGCTAGTAAGTGCAAAGTCAAGATTGCGAAGTTGGAGAAGACTAAGGTTGCGGAACCTTCGAATATTCAAGAGGAGTTGGCAGTGATGAGAGTGACGCTAGCTGAACTCCAGGCGATGAGGCCGAGTAAGACTACTCCGGCAGTCCCAAAGGAAAATATCCCGTGTTCTAAGAGTTATGCAGGGAAGTGAAAGGCGCGAGCGGTGGATGCTCTCTCTATGATATAGAGAAAAAATTCGAGGATTCTGGCATTATGGGAGATGAAGCCAAAATCCGAATTGTATCCAGATTCCTGAAGGACTTGGCCCGCACTTGGTGGAGACGGAACAAAAGGATGCACAATGATGATGGCGGCATCATGACATGGAGAATGTTCAAGCGTGAACCTAAGGAAGAGTTTGCACCGGCCGACGCAGAGGAAGCATGGTGTACGATCCATCGGTTGGACCATCGAAAAGGTCACTTGAAGGAGTATATCGAGAAGTCCTCTGATCTATTGTTGGAAGTGTCAAATATGTCTTTTAAGAAGGCGTTAACGTTCTTCGAGACCTATGACTGTGGGCCAAGCTGAGGATTATGAAAAAACTTCTTTAAAATGTCAATGAGGCCATCAGGTACCCTTAATGGTTGCTTGAAGTTGAGTGGAAAGAGTCAAATAAGGATGATAAGTTGAGACGAAGGCAGAAGTGGGGATATCAAACCCGGAAATTCCCATGAGATTGTGATGCCGGAAATACTCGGTAGCAACCCGCAGCTAGAGCTAGGAACACGACTGCAGGGGCAAAGATCACTATACTAGGGATTGTCCAAGTAGGGAAGGCCTTGCGGTGGTGGACGAACAGACCGAGGCAAGCGAAAAACGAGTGGCATGTACAAAGTCAATCCCTGCTAATACCCTTGGAGGGAGGATGCTCATTAATGCATGGATAAATAGAGTACTGGCGACGTGTTTTCTTGAAATGGATGTAAAAGACAAATACATAAGTGAGTATATGGCCCGTAAGATTTGCCTATGATGGGCACCTTCTGGATGGCGGTTTAAGGGAGTCAATGGTGGGTGGACTCCCAAATCTGTCGTAGCCAAAGACATGCCCATCCAGCTCAGCAATTGGAAAGGTACAAAATTATTCAATTTAGCCCCTCTCAATCAAGCCTGGAGCCCCAACCCGTTTTTGGATGATTATGCAATATTTCTAAGGATGAGGTTCATAGATCACGTCAAACCCATACTGGTGCCACACAAGCAAAAGTTTACGATCATTGAGGATGGGACGCCGTGTGACATGGTGTACAGAGGGAAGGAGCTCAGCCCGAAACAACTCGAGAAAGGGTCTAAAGAAAGAAGAGCTGACTTTTGCGGCTATTCTGAGTGATAGGACGTCCGTGGGATGGTGAGAAAGAGGTTGGGGGCCCGCCTAAGGACCTAGAGCCAGTCCTTAAGGAGTTCAAAGATATCATGCCAGATGATCTGCCTAAGGGGCTGCCCTCTCGACGGGCTATCGATTATACCATTGATTTGGTGGAAGGGGCAAAATCGGTCTCTGGCCTGCTTACTGGATGTCTCTGACGAGTTGGCGGATGTTGAGAAGCGGTAGCCTATGCATGAGAAGGAAATGCTCGCAGTGGTACATTGTTTACAAGTATGAGAGCATTACTTAAGGGGGGTTGCCCTTTACGATCTCCACCGACAATTGAGCTTTAAGTTAATTTAATCTCAAAAGAAATTGATAGGAAAACAAGCGTGGTGGCTTGACTTTCTTGCAGAGTTCAAGTTTGAGATCAAGTACTGACCCAAAAAGATGAATGCCACAACCGATACTGAGTCGCAAGATGGCGGCTCTTTACTCTATTGATGGGGATATTGTAGATCAAATACGTGAGGGTCTGGTGCACTATGAGTTCGTTCATGCGATGTTTCAATAGATTGAGGAAGGGAGGACTCAGAAATATTTTCTGAAGGATGGCCTAGTCATGACCAAGGGCTATCGGACGTATGTGCCAAAGTGGAGAAACTAGAGATGAGATATATTGCGGGAGTGTCATGATACAAAATATGCAGAGTTCATACCCGCGCTGAAGGAGGATACGGCGGAGACGACTGCCAAGTTCATGAGCTATGTCTTAAAGTATTGGAGCTTTCCAACAAACATTGTTAGTAATTGAGACTCACGATTCACAGGAAGATTTTGTATGGAGCTCTCTCGACTATTGGGGTCAGAGTTGAAGATGTCGACGATGATGCACCCCTAGACCGATGGGCAGATGGAGCATGTCAATCACGTATTAAAAGTGTACTTTCGACACTTTATTAAGGTAAATCAACTCAATTCCACTGCTCTACTTGATGTTGCACAATTCTATTTTAGACTGCAAATAAACAAAAGTACGAGAAAGAGTCCATTCGAGATAATGCTCGAATTTCAGCCCATAACGCCGAAGGATATAGTGAGAACATACAAGGGACCAAGCCCACAGGCATTCCACTTTGCCAAATGTTGGCAAGATCGTGCAGAAGTTGCCCGACTTTAGTAAAAGTCTCAAAAAAAATGAAAAAGTGGACAGACCAGAAGAGGGTGTTCCGAGAATTCAAAAAAAAGGCATAGTGCCCGTGAAGTTATACCAACACGGCCATGTTCGAGGAGTGCATAAAGGCTTGATGCGTAGGTATGAAGGCCCATTTCCGGTTTGGAAGAAGATTGGCGAGGTGGTGTACAAGTTGAGCTGCGTAAGACCTTATCCTAGTTTCACCCCGGGTTCCACGTCAGTCCATTGATGCCATATCGTAGTAATATTCAGACCCCACGGGCACCCCCTGGCATGCGGACAGTGTACAACAAAGTGGCGGAGGAAATCTTGACTGACAGAGTGGTTCGGCACAAGAATCGACCCCCATTGACGGAGTACTTGGTCAGGTAGTGTAGATTACCCGAGTCCGAGATGAGTTGGGAGCCGGCCAAAGACTTATGGCAGTTTGTGGATTTTGTTCAAGACTTTGAGGCATTGAGAGCAATGCCTAGTTCTGGTGGAGTAGGATATCCCGGACCGGAACCTTAGCCGAGAAATGCCGAGGAATGCTCTGCGACGTGCCTAAATGGAGAGGCTAGTAGAAATCTCTCAAGACATTTCGGAACCTCCCGAAACGTTCCAAAATATTCCAAAAATACTGAGATCGCCCATTGACCGAGTCGATGTCTATCCATAGACATAGTTTATCCATATATTTTGTATAGTTTATCCTTATCTATATGTTGTATAGATAGTTTACCCGAGTATGGATATAGTTTGACATGTGTTAGGCCTGGTCAACTAGAGTGCCTATACATAGAGGAGTCACCTCATTTGTAACACACTTCGCTACGCAGAAAGCTATACACTATTTTTCCGGGTGCATTTTTACTGTGTCCTTGTTTTTCATTTTAGTGTGCTTTTGTGGTTGTGTATGAGGCTGTACTAGCAAGTTTCTTATGAGTGCCGATGAGTTTTTAGGCCAATAGAAAGGTCATCAAGGAGGAATCATCCGACCCGCTACACTGCTTATTTCAGGCTGCCTACCACGCCCATCAAAAGCTCAGCGGCAGCCAATGGACCTGTGGCGGGAGGAGGTTAGGCGGCTGGCTCATCTACAAAAATCATGGGCAAACCAAGGGCAAAACACGTAATTACCGATGGGGGATGTTTGAGGGGCCTAGAATGTCTCGACAATGGAGTTCAAACTTTAGGATGTGCAACTAGTCAGCTTTGATGGCCATGGCCCCTTAGGATGGGTTGTGCTATGGCAGAACAACCCTTGTGTTGCACAGGGTCTCCGAGGAGATCAAAGTGAGTTTGCGCACCAATCTAGTACGGTACCAGAGACCGGAAATTGTTCAAAACTTGCAGGATATAATGGAGGTTGAATTCAATGTCCTACTATTAAATTCGGACACTGAGAACCTCCCAAATAGCCCTGAAAATGCGCCTGTGATGCGACTAAAAGTCGCGCATGTCTTGGAGAAATTCTGTGACATGTTTGGTGAACCTACAAAGCAGCCACCGACTTTCTACAACAACCAGATTCCATTGAAACTAGGAGCAGGTCCTATTTCAGTACATCCTTACAGCTATGGACAGATTCAGAAAGACGAGATTGAATGGATTTCTAGGGCTGTCAGGCCATTACCAACACTTTTTGCAACACTATGGCAGCATCGATTGCCCATTAATGGATTTTATATGCAAGAAAGCTATAGAGAGAGTTTTCATGGCCGCCCTCCAGGCAGGCTGCCTTCGACAGACTAAACATGCCTTTATAACAACTCCGGTGCTTTCCATGCTAGATTTGTAGTGGAGTGTGATGCCTTAAGCTCCAGTATTGGTGGGGTACTCATGCAAGAGTTTAGGCATATTGTTTATTTCTGCAAGGCACTAGGAGATCGAACTCGGAGAAAATCACCCTATTAACAGGAATTAATGAGTTTAGTGTATCTATCCAACATTGGTGCCTCTATCTCATTGGTCACCACTTCATGGTGCACATGAATCATCATAGTTTGCACCATTTATTTTCTCATCAGAAGATTGGGATCTGTGCTTAAGAATCTTGAATGATCAAACTTCTAGGATACTCTTTCGGCGTGGTTTATAAATTAGGCCACCTAAACTTGCCATTGATTCCTTCTCCTGCAAGATTGACCATTCATTATTATCTCCGGATCATGCATAGAAGTGGCTTGTCACGAAGGGTGTACTCAGGTGTATAGGGAGCACTATACAAAAACTCTCCCTTGTCGTCAAGATGTCTTATATTCATCTTTTTCTCTCTATGGCAGTTACGTGTAGTTGGCCTATTTATAAGATGGGCGTAAAAAATGTCTTCTTGCTTGGTGAGCTTCGGAAGGAGGTGTATATGGATCAACCACTTTGTTTTGTTGTTCAGGGAGAGTCTGGTCTCCTTTGTTGCCTTTGTTGCTTACTCTAAAACAATCTCTACGAGTGTGGTTGGGACATTTCCGTCTTGTTATTCAAGAATTTGAGATAATAGAATGTTCATCTGATCATACCATATTCTATAGGCATACTCTAAAAGGACAGGTGCACTTATTTGGTTGTCTATGTTGATGATATTGTAATCACCTCACACCTGGGCATGATATGGATGGCATCACACGGTTGATGAAGCACCTGCATAACCATTTTCAGACTAAGGATTTAGGACCTCTATGGTATATCTTAATCAGTTCCTTCGGTCTCCGTGTGACTCTCATTGGAAGGCAATTATGTGAGTATTGTGGTATATTAAGCATCTCTAGTTTATACAAATTATATTCACTTTGAAATTGTTGGATATTCCAATGTTGATTGGGCATGATCTCCAATTGATAGACATTTTAACTTTGGTTATAGCTTAGAAGAGCAAGAAGAGAAATGTGGTCACGCATTCTAGTGTTGAAGTTGAGTATCGTGCTATGGTTTTAGCAACATGTGAATTCATATAGGTTAAACAATTACTTTCTGAGCTCAAGTTTTGTGAGGTGATGAAGATGAAGTTGTGGTATGATAACCAACGCAAACACTACATATTGCATCAAATCCAATATTTCATTAACAAACGACTCGTAATGAAATAGATTGTCTCTTCACTAGGGAGAGTGTAATCTGGATGTATTGACACCATATATGTGTATTCAAATGGTCAACTTGCGGACATATTAGACAAAGGCTTTTAGAGATCCTAGATTCGAGTTCATATGTAACAAGGTTGATCTTCTGAGTTATACGCTCCAGCTTAAGGGGGAGTTTGTTTATGATTAGTTTAGGCCCATATTAAACTATATATATATATATATATGTCTATTGTGCTATGTAACTTGACTTTTTCTTGTGATAATATAGTAAACTTCTACAACTTCAATGTATCCAGGAATTTGTCGTAAGAAATGATATGGGATGTGGATCAACTATAGGTCCCATACTTGCTTCAGGAGTTGGGATTCGGACCGTTGATTGTGGTATAGCTCAGTTATCTATGCACAGGTGAGCATTTAAATGCATCCCTTTATCATAACTTTAATCTAGTCTCAGAATGTGGTAAAAGCTGAGTGCCAAAATATTACTAACTGTTATCTTACTCTTTTCTTCTTTTCATATTCAGTGTTCGGGAAATATGTGGAAAACATGATGTGGACATTGCTTACAAGCACTTCAAGGCATTTTATAAGACTTTCTCTAGCATCGACAAAAGGCTAAATGTGGATTTTTAGCTTCATTTTGAGGAATTATTTAAAGCGCAACCCCAAGCTTCTTTCGGTATTTTTCTATTTCAATCATACCAGCTTGTCATTTTCTGAAGCGGTTGGGATTGGTACCGGAAGACGAATAAAGAACTGTGACTGATAGATTCTTATGTATTGTACTTGCCCAAAGAAGAAGTGTTTAGAGGATTTTTTAGAAGTTGCTTATTTATTTGCACCCAAAGTGTAATATGTTTGGATAAATTGCAAAAAAAATGTCCTCCTTGGACTCAGATCAATATGAGAAACTAGAAATAACATTTATCAATTTTGCTTAAGTAGAAGAAAATTTGGGTATCAGCTTGTAGAGTTTTTGCATAATGATAGAACAATTGCAATGAAATTTCACCATGTACTAAAAAACTAGTTTCAGCTGTGTTTCTGTGAATGAGTCCTTGTGCACTTGCTCACTGAAGTGGAGCCGAGTTTGACTTGTGCAGATTTCTGTTTACTTGCCGCTTCTAGAAGCTTTCTCGTCAACTCATTTCGTAAAGCCTGGTTCTCCTGGCTGAGTTTTTCAGCTTTCTTCCGTAGAATTTCATTCTCATGCATCATTTGACAGTTTTCCATGTACAGCTCACAGTTCTGCCTCTCGATTTCCTCGTCCATCGTTTGCCTGCTCTCTCTCGCTCTGCAACTTACCAACAAAAGAGATAAATACATACATCAGGTAATGGGAGTGGAGGAGGGATCATCAAATAGCAATAATATGGAATGAAATGCAGGTATGTTTGCCGATTTACTATGCTATTCAGAGGTAATTTTGAATCTGTATTCTGTTTCGTGAGTAATGCTAATAAAAATATATATATATATATATCGGAAATCCGGATTCTGCATGCTTCTTCTTCTTCACAATGATGCTGCAATATCATTTTTTACCTGGAATGGATTAGAAGAGGACTAATGATGTTGATGGACACTGTAGTTTTCACCTGCTATATATATATATATATATATATATAAAGAGAGAGAGAGAGTATAGATCACATTCTAAAGCGCACATATGGAAGGAAGGCCTAGGGTGTATTTGTGGCCTCCATGGCTATGTGCTTTAACAGCTGTGCTGTATTGTGCTGCTTTGTGTGAAAATACATCAATACAGTACAATACAATACACATACATACATACATACATCATGCGGATGTTGCTTTGTGTGTTTTAGTGAGAGAGAGAGAGAGAGAGAGATGATTATGAATATCATGATCAGGCATGAGTGTTGGAATGTTAGCAACAACATTATTTCTGCCTCTCAGAAACGTGTGTTTTGTGATTCTGTTGCTATTTCCATTCCCATGCTCTTCCATGCTTTTCTCTCTCTCACATTTCCCACAAATCTGGTAACTGCCTCATTTATTATTATTATTATTATTATTTATATATATAGCATTTTATTTTAATAGAAATGTATACCATATATATTATTTTTATTTTTCGGCTTTGGTGAAATTATTATATTGTTGTTTTGAATGAAAAATGGATGTAGAATGTGATTGAATTAGTTTTTTTACAAGAAAAAAAAAAAAAATAGAGAAAGAAATACAAGGAAACAAATCCTTTACACTTACCCTTTTATTTTAAATAAATGTTGTTACCTTCCGGAACTACTTTTGCTAAGGGTGCTGATTGGTATATTGGATGTAAATTTGGAAATAACTTTTCATTGGAATAAAATAATTGATAATATATTAATATCATTCATATATTTGTTAGCATTTTTTTAATTTAAATAATTATTTGATATAATATAAATAAATATTAATATAATATTTTGAATATTTAGTTACTATTCAATAAATGGGAATGGGATGGGCGATGAGAATGTGCCTAGAGCTGTAAAACAAACAAATACTTTGCGAGCTCGGCTCGGCTCATTTGAGTTCGTTAAGAACTTGTTCGTTAAGCTAAACGAGTCAAACACGAACATAAATTTCGGCTCATTATATTCACGAACGAGTTCGAGCTTGTTCGCGAACATTCGATAGTATTTATTAGAAAAATTAAATTAATAATTTTATATTTAATAAATATATATATCTTTATAAATATTATATTTCATTATATTTTTATTTAAATTTATTAATAAAAATTATAATTATAATTAACTAACTTCAAATTTTTTAAAGAAAATAAATAAATAAAATAAAATTTCTCTTAAAAGGCCGAGTCGAGTCGAACACGAACAAAAAAATTGTTAAACAAGTCGATGTCGAACAAAAATTTCAATTCGTATCTCTTAACGAACGGACACGAGCCGAGCTCAAATATGACAAGCTCAGTTCAATTAATTGTGCTCTCCAGAATCAGAGTGCACAACACATGTTATTTATTCATTTTGAACTCTAAAGTTAGAATTGTTTATTTTATTATTAGTGTGATTATTATTACTATTATTAATTAAGGAAAGTGTGTAAAAAGTTTTAACATTTTGACTTTTGAATTTATGTATAATAATGTATTTGTAATTTAAATAAAAATTAAGAATATTTTAATATTATTGTATAATTACTTTTATTTAAAAATAAATAAATACTTTTGATTGAACTTTAAATTGAAATATATATATATATATATATTTTCAATCATGATAAATATTTAAATGTTCTTTCATTTGTACCTGCCTGCGATTTATTTCTTTATTTATTTATTTATTTTGATCGGCAAGATAGCCGAGCATTGTCCTTGTAGCAATTCGACCATGTGCAATGCAGAATCAATCTTGGGATTCTAGTCTTTTGTCTTTGTTACATTATGTCATTTTAACTTAGAAAGTTACGTAAACCTCACTTATTTGTAACTCATATCGTAAAACTCCCATCAAAATTAATAAAATTAGTTTTTTATCAACACATTTATTATTTTATGCAATATAAAATTTATTTTATATTAATATTTTTTTAAAATTTTTTTATAGTATAATTTTATATTCATATTTTTTTAAAAAATGTTTTTATAGTATAATTTTCTATATTGAATCAAATAAGTTAATTATTTTTCTATTATAAATATTATTTTTATCAAAAAATATAATTAATTTATAGTATAAAATTTTAAAAATAATAATAATACTACTTTCGTCCGGCTATAAGGGTCTCATTTACTTTTTGCGTGTTGATCTTTAATATTAACTGTTATATCAAAACGTAGTACAAATTAAAAAAAAATGCAAAATACTTTTTATTAGTGTCTTATAATACTAATAGAAGGACATTTGTACAAAAAATTATACAAATTTAAAGATATTTTTAATATTAAGTATAATGACGCAAAAGTTAAATGTGACCCTTAGAGTCGGACGGATGGAATACGATATATAATTATATTAGATAATTAAGATATTAATATTTTATATTAAATACTTATAAATGTAATATTTATATGAATATCTAATATATAATACTCTCTTCGTTGGTAAATTTAGAATATTTGGGTTTAGCACAAAAATTAAATATATATATATATAGTTTATTAAAAGATGATGAAAGAAAAAGAAAAAAAAAAATAATTGGAGATATTTTCGCAAAATTATAATTTAAAAATATTTTCCAAATAATAAAGAGGAAAATTTAAAATGTTTCAAACACAATCTAGAAAAATGAATAATATAATATAAAATAATTCTCCTAAATTTTGAAATCAATATAACATAATGTTAATTTATTTTAATTAGCAATAGTATTGAGTGTTTTAATACAATAATAAATGTTAATATATATTAAAATACTTTCACATAATTAATAATAGTTTGAGTATTTTTAACATATAATTTAAATTAGAAATTTTATTTACAGTCAATCTATGCCTAATGCGTTGAAAACTTCAGCAAAGGATATGTTAATAGTTTGTTATTCTAACTTTGTAATGAATGCTAATACGATCATATGTGTTTGTCTAATTGAAGATATATCTTGGAATTACAATATATTTTTGTCTCATTATTACGATATATTGTCTAGATTTTTTTTTTTTTTTTTTTTTTTTTTTTTTTTTTTTTTTTAATTTGTTGCATTCTTTTGGATAAACCTCAATTTGATCTAATTTCACGTTGTTGCATTCTCTGTAGTCCGTTTTTCTGCAACAATACTTTATGTATTATATTTCATACAAGTCTAATTACAAACTCCATATTATATGTATACTCACGATAAAAATTTAATATAGTATCCGGTTTTGTGAATTTCATTCAAATGAATATACTCCCTCCATCCGAAATAAAATGGGTCATTAGAGATTTTATAGTAGATTAAAAAATAATAATATTTGTTGTCGTAAAAAAATCGCCACCGATGGTTTAATCGGAAAAGCCTGTCGGAATTGATTTGTTCGAAGGGTTCCCCGGCCTCCTCAAGAAAGGATCTGGGCTATCTCGCGATATTCGAATAATTAACGAAAAAAAAGGAAGGTAAATACACAAGAACGAAGCTAAAAATTAAATTGGAATTAATCGAAAAAAGCTATAAAAATTCTGAAAATATTACAAGAAAATAATGCAGAGAAAAAATTAATGTTGAAGAAGATTCATGATGAATGGCCGTGCCTTCCTGCTCTCTTGGATCTTCTTTAAATAGTTAATTTTTTTTTGAATTTATTTGAATAAGATGTTATCCCACTTTTTTCTCCAACAATTCCAACAACTTTCTAACCACTTCTTTGACCTTCTTGCCTCCGTTGGACTGCTTCCAAGTCAAGTTGGACCTTCTTGAACGATGGGCTAGACGGGTCAGAAGGTCCGTCTGCTATTT